ATATAGAGTTCCCCAACATTGGTTATTCTCCCCACGATGAATGCGACAGCGGTTGATTTCGAGCGTAGACAATAGTACTGGTTGTGCCTTACCACGCGGCGTAAATGATAAGGACCCGGTTGACAATGGTGGGGGAGAGCTTACAACAATCGTCCTGCTAGATGAATCAGCAGTTGCCGCGCGCTTGTTGAGGTCCGTGAGACTGTCTAGTTTGACAAATGTTCTATCCACAGCAACTGTGAAAGTGTTTAAAAATAGGAGTAAACGATGAAATGATTTATCGTGGAGCAAGAAAACTTGAACAAAGCTCCTCATCCCCAAATCTGTTGAGCAAAGAGAAAACAGTTATGAAATTGCATTTGTTTAGGACAAACTCAAGGTAACGCAGAGTTGGTGAAAATAAACTTCCTACATTTTCCAATCAACTTAATGACAAGTGATTTCAATAAAAACGAAACAAGTAACCCAATTTAAATGAAAAGAAAAAACATTTGGAATATTAGATTGCAAAACGGCTATACAGGTAGCTAAGATGAAGTCTCCACACTACCAGTTCCGTATTATCGGATATACCTGTCCCACCGCTTGAATTTAAGACAGCATGGAGTAGGGTCATCTGATACTAACTGAATAAACTCATGGTGACTCCTGCAACTTTCACTGTGTTCTGTTTAATGACTGCTTTTAGATCTTTGCCGGGAGAAAAAATGACCATCAAACTTTTACACCTTAGAGAAAATACGACGCGCTTAATAAAGCGTTTGATCCGCATCGTGGAAGAGTAGTGATCGTGAGACATTCGAACATTTACTGCATTTTATTAGCTAAAAGCTATCGCGAACATACTACAAGCGTATATTAACATTGTAAAATGATTTACTGCTGTCAGGAGAACTATAACAAAAACCTTTCTCGTTTTCAAAATGCGGACTATTGACTTGCTTAAAACATACGATGAAATATCATTCTGTTGCTTGTACAGTTCAGTTTCAGTGTCACTATGTAAAACTAACCAAACGGTATTTGTTATTCTGAGTATTGTTGCTAGAATAAGGTGATCGTTCTTTCCTATTAAGTTTGTAACGTGCCCAAAGCTACCAAGGAATGTGATTGATGCATCTGACTTTCGTCTTCATTCTTTGTTGTCCATCTAACGTTTTTTTTACCTATAAAAAGGTTTCACTGCTCCAAGTCGCGGATTGTCTACAATCAGCGACATTTTAGTCTTTTCATCAACTGACTTAATATTCGTTTTCATATTGATTCTTATGTCTGTTGAGGTCACAAGATCTTCGCAAAAAAGCGCATCCTCCTCAGTTTGGTGTATCTATTGTTCATATTTCTTCCAGGCGATATATATACATATATCTTCTAGCGGATTATCATCATCAATGTAGAGCGAAAAACAGTGAAGTGAACTGATCCTTTCAGCTTACACTAAATACAACGTATGTGAGAATGTGTAAAATCCGGTCCAACACCGTCCAAATTATCTGGTTCGCCACTCCAAGTCCCGGGGCTTAGGTTACCGGTTACTATCCCTGGACAGCATGTCTTCGTGACTATGAGGTTCGCCCCGACTGCTGTTAATCACACACTGATGTGTCATAAAATCGTTGGGCCTACTTTAGGGGAAAGAGCACACTAATATAGTGAATACGCTCAAACTACGCATACATCGCGTTTTGAGCAATGTCTCCCGACAAAGTGAACAAAAACGTCACTGCTACCATGTCCTTCATTGAGTCCAACCACTTACGGAACATGTTGGGCCTCAACCTAGAATACGAGGCACCAACTACCTATTGACTTCGTGCACTTTTTTATTCCTTGTCTCCATGCCATATGTTGACCTCCACGTGATTATCTAAAGCCCGAAGCAGTAACTATAAAAAGGTGTAATGCAGTAGGCGATAAACGTGTCCTCAGTAGTGAAGTTTATTATTCTGAATTCCAGGCGACATCGAATTTTGGTTCTAATAAATTGCAGACATATGTGAGCTAAACTCAAGATAACTAATCCGTTTATCCCATCTCAAATGCGCCAAACTACGTAATCATCTGTTATTGAAAAACTCCAGTCTATTATTGTCTCCCATCCTCAAGTGCAAAGCAGAACTAACTCAACTGTAGCAAGTTATACACAATCTTTCAAATTCACTGAAGCTTCACGTCCGCAAGAAAGATGCTCCAGACTGGTATGCGTTACGAGCTCCTAAGAAATGCGTGCGGTTGTTGTTCACTGTGCTACTGCCATTGGTCGCGCAACTACCTGAACAGAAGCAACCAACTTCAGCCAATTCCTAACCACTTATTTGCAAACCGCGATTAGAAGAAACCGTCGCGTAACTCCCAAGTTAAGCAAGAACTCGTCTATTCTTCAAACGCATTTGCCGTATATTTGCATAGACAAACGACGTACTGCGGCTTTTCTTCCACTTCACATACAGCACCAACATTTAGGAGACCAATTGATAGTCTCTCTAGTTACTTATCTTTAAGAAATTAATCTGTTTTCTTGCACATAAAACAAAATGATGACTGATCTGAGGCCCGTATGAACACCACATGGAAACGGAAATACAAATATCGGCCTTTAACACAGCTTACCGGTTTCTACTTCATCGTCCTCCTGACAAGAAGGCTGTATGACGTATTTTGAGCAAGAAATGTATAGATGATTCTGAGTGTGCGGGCTGTTGAGGAAACCCGTGTTGAAAAATTTACATGCGGAACCAGAGAGGCGGACATGAATCTCAGAGTTCGTCGTTAACCATCCACGTTGAATGAACTTTCCATCCTCTGGAGGTATCAAATAAAACACCGACTACTTACCATAAACTCCAAACTTTACATGCGTCATGCGGCTTTTATCATCACTGTTTATGTAGTCTACAGAGCTCAAGCAGAACGAAGATTTCACCCACCTATGATGGAAAACTTTCTAGGACATAACCTGGACTCCCACGCGAGGACTCTGATCATAGCCGAATCCGTATATTCGTCGTTATTGTGTTTGACCTCAGCAACAAAATAGCGATATTGGAATGTCTTATAAATATCGGAAGTGAAGCGACATTGCCACGTTTCGACTCTGAAAAATTACAAAATCTATCATATAATTACCCGCAACCATCGCTGGATTTCTGCTTGCATAAAACAGCCTTCTCGGGGTTCCAGTTACCCAAAACGCCAGTGCTCCCAGATATACCAACTACAAATTTTTGATCAGGATTTGCACATGTGTTGTCAACAAACGTCCCAACGTCTTCCAGGGACTTAAAATCAACTTCCACAGTAAGACAAAGTGTCAATTGACAGTCTTCCTCTTCCATTCAGGAACAGTCGCTATACGCGTCGTATAGTATGAGAAAATTGAATTACCGCGTATGACGAAAGTTAGGCTAAAGATGGATGATATAAACAGTTCATTTGTGTTCATTTGGCGACTCTTACCAAACGATGCTCCAGATTGGAAGACTTAAGCCAGAATTGTAGTGATCATGATTGTACGAAGAAAAGGAGCAATCCACGAGGACGTTTTCCGTTCA